AATACCTTTGTGAAGAGCATATTACTTTGTACATTTAACCCAATCAGCATGGATGGCAAGAATACATGCCATGTTCACTGTAAAATAAGTTTATTTATTGTATTTACACAAAGATGGCTCTACAAGTCCTGCCTATCTCACCTGTTTACCATTTTCCTTGACTTTTGGAAAGCATCTACAAGGGACAATTGGGTTAAATGTATATGTGTTTATGTGCATGCATATGTGTGTGTGTGTATGTGTGTGTGTGTGTGTGTGTGTGTGTGTGTGTGTGTGTGTGTGTGTGTGTGTGTGTGTGTGTGTGTGTGTGTGTGTGTGTGTGTGTGTGTGTGTGTGTGTGTGTGTGTGTGTAAGAATCAATATCCATCTGCATGTGCCTGTGTCATGTCATGGGTATGAATATACACTAAATATAAGTAGTATAAATATACTGAAATACATTGAAATATTTGTGGGGTAGCTGTACTGTAGTAGAAAAAAACAAATGGCTGTAGACATTGGCTCAGGATTTGGAAACACATCCTTTTGGAATAAAAGATCTCATCTGCCCAATAAAAACCCTTCAAAAGAAAACACCATCAAAGCCCATACAAATAGTGCATGACTAGAACCAATAATTACAGACAGAAATATTTGTCTGTTCAAATATATATAGATGTGTCATTACTCATACATACTTATAAATAAATACATACAAACATACACACACACACATATAATGTGTCTATCTATATTAGAATTTGCCTTTAGCTATTCCAGGTATTATTATGCTGAAACAGTGTTAAACAATCAAGGACACATTCAGTTGATTACTTTAGTATTCAGTGTCATAACTGATTACACCTCTAAGAATATGCTTTTAACCCATTGCCGACAGGCATGCCATGCCATGCCCACTGTGAGATTACTTGTTTGATTGTTTTCACACATAGATGGCTACACTTGTACTAAATCACCAATGAGCCAGTTACGAGTACCGCCTGTCTCGCCCATTCACCCTTTTCTTTGATTTACGAAATATTTTACGTTATCTTAATTTTCTGTTACTAATGTTAAAAAACATTTTAATAATTATAATGTTTATAATAAAAATAACATCATCGATATTCATGGCACTAGTGAAAAATAAGTTTTTCCCGCCATTTCAAATCAGGCACTAACAGAGCCATCTATGGGCAAACATTTCACAAAAAAATATATAAAATAGGCACAGCATTTTCCCCATTATTTGTTCATTTTCCCCAGCGGCAATGGGTTAACTGTACATTGCATACCAATGAATATATTTTTGTTCTTTTAAAATTTCATGAAAAATAAAATAATGTACCTTGCAGTTTTCAATAAAAAGTACAGATACTATCAGCACAATCTGTTTCCAACAGGCAAAAGGTCTCTCAGTGACCTATTTCGATGATGTTGGTTTTTCTCTTTCTGTCTGGAACTCCAGCTCAATCTTTTCTTGTATCTTTTTCCAGTCAACTTCAACCTGTAAACAAGAAGTGAATAATATCAGTTTGAAATACAGAATAATAAGTGTCTTTAGTAAAAGATTAATTTATGAAGAAAGTGGTCAACAATTTAAAAAGAATATCTTATGAGACAAGTAAATTGTTTTAAGTGTAGAGTAATAAGATATCAAAGAATAATTTATGAATCATAAAAGTAAATAATTTCAGCAGTCAGTCATAATACAAAATAGATATTTACATGAATATAATGCTTTGGTAGACTGAAGCTTACCTGTTTTTCATATTGCTGAAATACTTTACTTGTTTCATTCTTATTAAAACGTGCAAGATAGCGTTGCCGGAATGCAATTACAGTATCCACGTGAGTACGATGTTTTATGGCAAGCTGTAAAGCACGCTCAAAGTTATATGTAGTCAAGTTCAGCATTATGGCTCTGAAATGTAGTCCTGACTGCAGTAAGATAGATTCTGCATCACTTGTATGGCCACCCATTAATGCCATTTCTGCCATTCGGGCTTCCTTTATTGGAATCTCTTTTATATAATGTATGTACTGCACCTTGTCAACTTCATTTATAGCTGCATATGCTACTTCTGCTGTATTCAGTTCTTTATATGCTGTAGCCATTGCAGCCAAGCAAGCCCATACTGTGTCATCTTTCACAAACCGAGCCAGTCTGACAGCATCATCCCAATGTTTAGCTGTTACATAGTTGTGGAGCAGGGCTGGGTATGGTGAAACATTTGCGGTAACTAAGCTTCCATCTGCCCGCCTCACTGTCACTACAGTGTCTAAGAAGCTGTCTACTACTGCATTTTTTCCATATTCAGTTGCATCTTTTTCAGAAATGGTTGAAGACTGTAAGTCACGATCAAAAAAGACTACAGCTGGATAAAACCAGACAGTGAACTTTGCATCTTGGAGAGCTGCAAGCATGTTTGCTCCATCATTCCAGCAGAGAGACTGTACCATTCCACCAAGTTTAACTGCCCTACCCATTCCTCCTACACGCTGTATGTTTACAAGAAAC